GAATCCCTCTCACGAGCAACAAGACCTTCTGCTTGACATCCGATGACCGGCTGCTTTATCTTCTCTCTAAAATAAAGCGCATTATAATCCCTGTCAATGATGAGAATGTCTCGACTATACAATATCTGTCTTTGAATGTTATATATGAAGCGGGAAATGAACATAGCAAAATCAATTCTCAGTCATCATCATCGTATTTGACTTCCATGGTCGCCAAATCAACAACAATGTCCTTGAATGTAGATAGATGATTTTTCAAAGATTCACCTCCTGTCATGCGATTAGAATATTAGCGCTGCCTTAGATGCAATTTGCTAGTTAGACTCCGAGTCATATATAATTGCTCTAATTTCAATCATAATGCAGCGATAGTTTTTTTTTTTTATCGCGTCATATAGAATTTGATTTGAAAAATGAAGATGTCTCTGTGATAAGGCCTTCCAATCCTTACGTTGTTTCTCTTCCAACGTCAAAGTCATCGCATCTTGTCCAGCCCCAGTAGAGCATCATCCAAACCTAATTGGACAAAAACTGCTTGCATCTTCATCTGTCACAAAGAAAATATGGTGTTGCAATCCAAAAGCGAAATTTCAAACTTCATGCTTATCATCTTAAAACAATCTAACGTTGCTTTAATACAAGACCAAATTAACTCTCCAAGAACTGTTGAAACTCTGGACTCTGATACCACTTGTTGGAAAATAAGTCAATTTGCAACAGCCAGATGATAAATATTATACCACTTTTTATGAATATTAAAGTCAAGAAAATATGACAAGATGAAAAGAATCACATAACATTTAATGTGGAAAACCAAAATTTGAAAATTCACGAACAAAGTTGGAGAATTCACTATAATCAATAGCAAAGAAGTACAAGAGGATCCCACATCACTTTCAACCTATCTCATAAAATGCGAGTCTCTCTTTATAAACTAGATCCTCTTATTTTGATGTTCTCTCAATGCTATACGATGTTTTGCGATGTTACTCAAGCCTTTGAAGAGCCTAAACCATGTAGAGTTATATATAAGAGCCAAATTTTGATGTTTTGAATGAAGCAGAATACAAAAATCGCGGTTAAAATCTGACTCGTCCCAAATAGGCTTTCCTACGGAGATGGCGCCCCAGTGCTAGTCTTCTATTTCTCTTTTTACTAGCCAGTGACCAGGCTTCTCTTCTCTGTCCCAAACGCTTCCAAAAGCATTTTTGTCCATTCCAAAGTCCTTCCAATCAAACTCTCAATCCATGATGAAATTTGGTCTATCTTCAAATTGGACTTCTAAACAAAAATTGTTTGTCTCATTTATCAATCAAACAATCCAAACATAATCCAAGTAGGAATTTGGATCATATTCTAACCAACACAATCAAAATGACATTTCTAGATTACCATCACATGATTGGAGTTAATTTAACCGAGATAATTATAGTTTATGTAAAGAGGAGATTCCAGAGTATTAGGCAATTATTACAACAAGATATTAAAACGAAAACATGTATTAATGAAAAATAATAAGTTGGACAGAAATAAAGATGGATGTTATTTCTCTCTGCCGTAAGGCAAAATACACCCAAAGATCCAGCAGATCTTCACGCCTTTGAAAGATGATGAGTGCTTCAGTTTCCAGGAACACACTGCTTAGTGTGGATCTCAGAACCAGGGGTTCGAAATAAGGATTTTAGCACTCAGACCGTAACCACACAAGATCACAGGAAAGAGTACAGTCTTCCAACTAAACCGAAAAAGTTCACACAAGAACACAACCCTCTAGTAGTAGAAATCACCCAAGATAACACTGTTTTTGAGTTACAGAAAATCAAACGAGGGTTTTTAATTTTACAGAGAGAAGACGAAAAAATATCGCAGCCTGAGAGAGAAAGAAGAGTCTGGAAGAATGAAAAATTAACGCACAGTAAACCCTAGAGAAGCCTTATATAAGAGTCACCAATGGTCAGCCATCCTATGGTTGAGGGGTTAACACATGACATCATCTCAGGTTTCCAATTAAACAAGAAGGGTCCAAGTGCGGTTTTAACAAACAGAAACACGTTTTTATTCAGCCAGTCAACACATTAATTCATCTAAGGGTTTTTGTATCATTGTGCCACCCTTACAGTTTATGTAAGATTATCAAAATAGATGACCATTTTTGGACATGAAGACCATGCCTATGAAAGGTCTAGGCGTGTAGCTAAAAAATTGGAAAAAAAAATGTAAGTCAAAATTAACATTTAATTTTAATCACACATTTTATGTAATTTCACAACATTTATTAACTTTTCGAAAACACATTTCATCTTAAACGAAATCTACTAAAAATTTGATTTTTAGTTACAGCAAATGGGGGCCACGCATAATTTGGAAAAGCAAAAGCGAACCCAAGGTTTTGTAATGAAGAGGCATATAATATTAAATTATAAAATTATAATTAAAAAGTATTAATTAAATGATGAATTAGAAAATATATGAAAAATTATTCAAGGCATTATTGTTACATAAATATTTTTCTACACTTTATACAATTAGAAATAAGCATGCGCATTACATGTCTTATATTAGATTAATGGTATGCATAATATTTTTTAAGTACTAATATTATTCTTAAAAGCACTTGAGGTAATTGACATTTTTAAATAAGAAATTTAATTTTTTAAAAAGAATATATATGAATAAATAACTTTCATACTTAAATCTATAAAATTGAATTTTCCCCCTTTGAACTTTATTGCGAATGACTTCTTCAAAATATATTATAAATATTTTTATTTTGACGTGACCAAATTCTTATCTGATTTGTTTGAATATAAATATGCAAATTCAAATTTAAAAAGTAAAGTATGCACACGTGTGAATATTAAAATGTAAAAATTGATGCATAATATATTCATTGAATATATACAAAATCATAAAACATAAAAACTTATATCTCATTCTAATTAGTCGAAAGTAGTGATACATTTAGCCTCTTGCTTTAGTTTGCCTAAATCCAAGTGTAAACATATTTTATTCATTTTGATTTGATTCTATATCATTGAATATATGCATTGCTCTTCTAATAATCATGTGAAAATCAAAATGGGATGATGATTAAAAATCATAAAAATAATTGGTAAGAAATTAAAATCAAAAGCTAGTTCTAAATCCTATTCTTACGAAAATAATTTGTTGAGAGGAAAAGATAGTGAGAGTAAGAGAGAAGACCGTAGGGCGGAAGAAGTAGGTGTAGGAAATGAAAATGGAGAGGTAATATGTAATAAATTTTTTTGTGGGATTCATTGGATTCAAGTATGTCTTTTCACCTTACATTTCCATGTTAGTGAAAAATTTCAATTAATTATATATGAATGATATATACTTATTAAACAACTAAAGGAAAGATTAATTTTATATATTATAATGCTATTAGTACAAAATAAAGTTAGATTAAGAAGATGACTCAGGTCTCAGAGCATTCTTGACAAATGACCAAAAAAAAGTAAGGCCAAAAATGGAGCTTTTCTTAAATTAAACATAATTTGTTTAAACGTATATGAAAAAGATGAAAATTTAAATTTGGAATCGAATAAACTTATACAAAATGACACCTGCATCAAGAGAACTATCCACATCAAAACTCTACAAACATAAAATATTGATGGTCGAGCATTGTTATGTACCATTATAATCTATTTATTGAAACCAGAAAAAAAATAAAATTTAAGGGTTGGTTTATAGTTCGTAGAAACTATGAAGAAATAGAGCTAAAAAAGATATAAATCTCGTGCTTTAATTTAATCTTCTGTATATGTTTTGAATATATTATGAAAGTTAAAAACACTTATCAACTAGATGTTTCAGTAAGTGGGTATCAGATGAGGGTGTATTCACTTTATTAAGTGCTTGTTTGGTAGGAATTTTGATAATTGATTTTTTGATCGTTAGAGATAAAGTGAATCCCACATATAAGAGAAGAATTCAAAAATAACGGCTTGAATAGTGAAATAACGGTCAAAAATTGATTTTAATTGGATTGAAATCTCAAACAAACAAGTTCTAAGTTCAAAAACTGACTAGAAATGTGCACTTAATAAAGTGAACATCCACTCTCTTTTATTGCATAAAAAGATAATTGTTTAAACGAATATGAAAAAGTCGAAATTTTAATTTTGCATTCGAATAAATTTGGACAAAATAACACCCACTCGAAAAATTTATCCACCATCAAAGCTCTACAAACAACAAATATTGACAGTCAAGAATTGTTAGGCCCCCGTTATAATCTATTTGTCGAAACCAAAAAAATAAAATTTAAGAGTTGATTTATAGTTTGTAGAAATTATGCAGAAATAAAGCTAGCAAATAAATAAATAAATAAATCATGGGCTTTTATTTAATCTTTTGGATATGGCTTAAATAAATTATGGAAGATAAAAACACTTATCAACTTATTGTACTTTGTAAATGATTAGTTTTCTAAACGAAAAGGAAATGAAAGTAACGATTGTAATTTCAATAATAAACACATCTTGTCCTAGATGATGATTTATACTAAATATTTTGTTTTTATGCTTTTAAATGAAGAAAAAATATTTTTTTCGCACTTTTATTTATTTATTTTTTAAAACTATAATGAAAAAATAAAATGTTTTATATCATTTCAACGAACTTTTGGACATAAAATTGTTATCAAATACAAAATGAATTAACTAATGAAAAGTTTGAGAATAAGAATGACATGAAAAATCGTCTGGGACGTAATTATTATAACGAGCAAAGATTAAAAACCTTATGCTGATTGAAATGGGGTACGAATATAATTAGTTAATTACCTTTTTAAGCATTGTAATTATTATAATCATATTTTGTCGAAAAAATAAGAAAATAAAATGCTATTTGATTCCAAGAATACGAAATACGGAAATAGATCCTCGTTCTTCAAGATATACAAAGATATACGAAGAGAGTTATGGATAGAGAAATGACGGTGGCGGGGTTCTATCGTGCGCGCGGGGATCCTATTAACATTGGTGTGCGTTTTACAACCGGGCGACGCCATATGGTTGACTATGCCGACGAGTGGGAACAAGTGCATCTCGGAGGAAATCCAGAACAACGTTGTTGTTTTGGCGGATTACATAGTCATTTCCGACGATCGTGTCCACCGTAATCCCATCATTGCCGTTAAGGTGAGTGTTTGTCCATGCATATGTCGATGTTGTTGTATTCATACATGTAATTTATGACGTATTTGTATGTTTATATAATGAATAGTTTATCTGCGAATTTGGGATATTTTTGGAAAATTAATTTAATACTAGATTTTTGAATTTTTCTGGTGGATTTATTATTGAGTAATATTAGGGAGGGGATTTCATTTCAAAATATTTTCTACACTGTGTAGGGATATTTCATTTCAAAGTAAAATTATATTTTCAAATGTGAAAATTGAAACAAGTCCATCATTGTGGCACCGAGAGAGCAATGCAAAACCAAATGATTTCACTCTATAGAATTTCTTGATAAGTGAATCTTTGATCACATACTGTGTTTTTAGTCTGATTCTCTTCACCATATGTCCGTGTGAAGCACGTTATTGGGAAAAGGAAAGGAAGAGATATTCATAATTCTCTCCATTTCAGTGTAGACAACTTTTAGAATGTGGAAGAGAGTAGTAGACCTGCTTTACTGCCTATGTTTATGGTCCTTGAGTGGCTGAAATTCATGAAGGCGATGTCGAACTTCTTTCTAGTTTCTTGAGAAGTTAAATGATTGCTTTGCAAATTCCTTGGTTGTTGGTTGGATGTGCTAATTTCAATATGAATTTGCAAGTCTCTCCTGTCTTTCCCTTGTCTGTGGTGTTTCTTTTGGTTGGGCGTGAGCTGGGATGGCTGTTAAGTATTTTTCTATGTCAAGATAAATCACATCGAAAGTCTAAATGGACTTGCAACTTTAACCATTTGAATTAAGATAAATGACGAGCATCACTTTCTTTCTTTCAAGTCGAATAGAAATAGCAGTTTATGGTTTTCTTGTAGGTTCAATCACCATATGGGAAGGCCCTTCATCGCAAGGACAATGTGACACACGGTGAATTTGCATTTACAACTACAGAGGCTGGGAACTATGTCGCATGCTTCTGGATTGATAGCCATAACGAAGGAGGTGGTGAAATAAGTGTTAACATCGACTGGAAGACGGGTATTGCAGCAAAAGATTGGGAGTCAGTTGCAAGAAAAGAGAAAATTGAGGTAAGATCTTTACGTTTTTAATTGTACTGCTGTTTGAAGTCGAATAATGAATTATGCAACAGTTTGTAGAAAATCTCCCTCAGTAACACCCCTTTCAGCTTATCATCTGCAGTTGATGCAGATGAACTAATAAATATAAGAATTGAACTCATATGTTCTCTGTTAGTGAAGATTCCTAATTTCATCCATTCAAAAAAAAGCTAGATATCGAACAATAAAGTGACTTTTGTCACCTAATACCTGTTCCCTCTAATGTAAGAAGTCCTCTGAAGTGTAGCGGATGAAATCAAAATCATTTTTATACGCGGTGATGGGGCATTACAATTTGCATGATTTCCAGAGTGTTAGCAGTGAGAGAACTAGTGCTTGATACATAAGTCATAACTACCTATATATTTGAATAGGATTATGTGGGAAATAATTGTGACGGTCTGGATATCATTCACTTTATTTTGTGCCTCTGTAAGGGTGTTGAACTTGAGTTGAGAAAGCTGGAAGGAGCAGTGGAAGCCATCCATGAAAATCTTTTGTATCTTAAGAGTAGGTAATGTACTATCTTTGTTGTTCAACTGTAATTGTGTTTTTTACCCACATTCCTTGGATATTCAAAATTTTCACTAAATTGTTATCCAGAGAAGCTGATATGTGGATTATGAGTGAAGCGGCAAATGCTTGGGTGGCATGGTTCAGTATCTTTGTCATTGGGAGTCTACATTCTGGTATCAGTTGCACAGATCTTGTACTTAGAGAGATATTTCCAAAAGAAGAAGCTGATATTAGTTGGGAGTCTGCATTCTGGTATCAGTTGCACAGATCTTGTACTTAGAGAGATATTTCCAAAAGAAGAAGCTGATATTAGTTGGGAGTCTGCATTCTGGTATCAGTTGCACAGATCTTGTACTTAGAGAGATATTTCCAAAAGAAGAAGCTGATATTAGTGTTGTTTAATATGTTGATATTATGTGTTATCAGATTAGAGGAAGGTGGTAAATGTTTTTCTTTACAGTTGATTATAACTTTCCCAAAGGAAAATTTTTGTGAAACTACTCAGATTTTACTGTTAGACGCAGTCAGCAAAATTTAATGTTCAATTCTTTTGACCTTGAATCTTGTAAATTGGTTTATTTTAGCTCATTATTGGTAGCGATATCAAGTCGGCTCGCTGGATCAGGCCTTCCATGACTCGGCCCGGAAAAGTCCAGCTCGTCTCGGCTCGAGGCTCGGTTCCAAGCTTGGGCCGAGCCGCCATCTTGGAGTGTCGGGTAGAGCCTGAGCCGGCCCTTGTAGCTCGTGGGCCAGCTCATATAAAAAAATGGGAACACAGTAGCGTGCAGCTGCGTCTACATATGCAGCTCATGTGTTATTTAAACAATTTTATTTTTTTTTTGAATCAAGCATAATAATAAATTAAAAAAAAAAATACTGAGCCGAAAGCTTGGATCGAGCCTCTATTTTTTGGCCAAGCTTTTGTTCGGCTCGGCTCAGGCAAAAAAAAAAAAGCCCAACTTTATTTTACTCAAGCCGAGCCTGAGCGTTGAATTTCCGCTATGCTGCTCTATATAGTGTGTCCTATTTTACGTTATTTGTAAACAAGTTCCTTGTAGCAAGTCTAAAGATTTTCTAGATGATGATATCAATATTGATGGTGACGTTGAACTTTTTCAAATAATGTGTATCATGTCTATATTACATAATTTGATGGCTTTAGACAATTTTGTTGAATTTCACCAAAATTGCTCACTAACATGTTGATCTCAATGTTAAGTAATTGTGAATATAAACCGATTATATTATCTACGGCTTACAATATTTTTGGCGTAGTCTAAAATTTCAATCTAGTATTTTATTTTGTTAGGCTTAGCATGATTACTGACTCTATAGATACACATACTAATTTTTTTAGCTTGTAGGTTCTCGAGGCTACTTGAAATTTTAAAATGAGCGATACTGTGTGAATGTAATAACTTATATTTTCGTAATTGATTCTAGTAACAAAATGGATTGTTACCACACAGAGCAAATTATGTTGTACACTTTTCTAAATTGCAGTTCACCTATTAGGCTTACTTTCAAAAGTTCGCGCAGGTTTTAGGTCGTCCTAATATTTTTTCTTATACAAAGATTATTAGGATGATCGTCTTTTTCTGTAGTAGAGAGAAATACAAAGGCATGAGATCAGAAGAAAACATCGTAATCCTTCCTTTATATGTATAGTGAAATTTTACGACAGGCATCTAGTTAGCCTATCTTTCTATTTTGTATTGCTAATTGCTCTTTCCAATACAGATGAATTATATAAATCATGACAAATAGAAATGAGAATTAATTGGCAAACTTCGTATGAATCATCAAACCTATTTCTCTCTGGCCCTTACAATGATTGATCAATTTATTTATTTATTTTGGAGCTCTTAGGGTGTTGATTTGCTTGTTGATGTTCTTCGGGTAGCTCTACCTCGATTGGAGCTTTGATTCTCCATTGACGTGTTTTCTCTTAGGACAGATATTTGATATCTGCCCTCATTCTTAAAGCAGATCGTTCCTGTAATTTCTTCGAACCATGCTCCTTAATTCCTCAGATGCACGCTTCTTAGAGGGCTCCATGTACATTTTTAGTGCTGATTTCCCAACTTCAGAGTATACAAAAGATGGGAAATGCTTAGTGTTTCTTCTTAACACATTCTAGGCATTTGATATGCAATGAACAACGATCGTAACCTTAAACATAAAGAGTTTCCATTAGTTGAAAGTACACCGAGTGAGGAAAATGTAAGTCGAATTTGAGAATAGAAAAAGTAGAACAAAAACCTGGAAAAAATCTCTTTTAACATCTTTGCTTGATGAGTTATGAACTCTTTCATCTAGTTTTTATAGGCTTAAAAGTTTGCAAAGGAAACTTAAATGCCATTATCCTCATTTGGAATTTGCAAAATTAATTTCCCAAGTCAACAATGGATTTTCCACATATTAATTGATAACCTTCAACTATAATTGTGGGAGCCAGTGATAGTCATTAACTAGTTTCAAAGAATTTAATGATTTTATTTTGTAAAGTTTGACCCTTCCCTCTACCACGTTTCCCGATAAATAGTGAATAAGTAATGCTGTTTAACATTAATGTTAAAACACCAATTTAGGTGACACTAATATGACATTAAATGATGGGTATAATTAAATGAGTTATTTAATTAATCATTTCATTGAGTCTATCGTTCAATGCCATCTAAACTGATGTTGTAGTGCCAGTAATGCTAGAAAGCATTATTCATAGCAAAAATAAACTAGAAAAACAGATAAGCATGTCATATATGCTTCCATATCCATTTGTTATTTTTAAAATGGCTACGTAACTAGAGATTGGGATTACATTAGAATACCAATCATGCTATATAGACATAATAATTGACATAATCCTTGACATAATGTCACACGACAACTTATCATTGGACTATTTAAAATACAGTCAACTTTTTCATCTAATCATATTTTGCCAACACATATTATGTCAACCATTATATTACATACATTCTAGCAAAGTAGCATTATTTTTAAAATATATACATTTTGTAATATTAAGCAGATGGTGATAGTGCAAGTTTGGGAAGTAATTGTATATAATTAATTAAATTATAAATAATTTAAAATGAATAGTAAATAAGAGGATATTATTTGCGGGTATAGCTGGACCTGAGTTGAGGCAGACGAGGTGATTCCTTAAAGCCCAAACTCAACAAGGACGTAAAAATTTGGAATCTCATAAAATAAAAATCTAATTGATAGAATAATATTTATTAAATTAGTAAGATAAACTTAAAAATGAGTGAAAAATGAGCCAACTTAGGAGCTTAAGACAGGTCAGTTCATAGGCCTAACAATCTAGTTTGACTCGATCCATGGCTTGTCTTAACAGGAGTCAAAGAGGTCACGGAATGAGCAGGGGCCAAATTGGGCCCACAAGTCTGCGAAACTTGGTCCGTTTGCCACTCCAAACGTGAGTACAATTATGGATGAATAAATTATTCATGAACCCATGAAGTTGACCCGACCCGATCCAAACAGAATTGGATTAGTTTGTGCCATTGGTGTGTAATCGGTTCAATTTTTGGATTGGGCTTGAACCCAACCAGAAAAAATTGATTCTATAGTCGGGTTGCCATATAATGAAAAAACAACACAATTTTTTTTTAATTTTTGATCTAAAGAGAACCCAAAATCATATTAATTAAAAAATTCCCTCCTGTTAAAAATAGAGACATATTAGGTGTTACTAATTTTATAATAACAACAAATTGCAATCGAATTAATTTTATGAACCTTCCTTTATTAAAAAATAAAAATAAAAGCTGCATTTTGAAGTAATATAAAACTCAATTATTTCAATAAAACTTTCTTTATTTCATATAGCTCTTCGGGCTGGTTGAAAGTAGCCTTTTGTTCTTATTTTCAATTACGATAAGCAAGTTTAGGAATGAGCGTGGTCTGATTCGGTCCGGTTCTCAAGGGAACCAAATATCAATGAGAGTATTTGAAATGAAATCATTGATTCCATATTCAACTATAGACCCAAATCAGAACCATACCAACTGATTTCATTCGATTCGGTCTGGTTCTTTGTAATGAAAAGTTGTAAAAATAAAATTTGAAACTACTAGTGAAACCTGAAAATAGATAAAAATAGAATATGAAATCACTCATCATTCTTATAATTTAATAATACAAAAAATCAATTAAATAAAGCAACAAACAAAAATTTACTCCAAAACTCAAGATCAACGGCGAAAAAATGAATTAATTATGGAACACATCATAAATGGTAAAATCTTGATTGAAAATTAATTCTTACGAAAATCTATATAACCTGATTATCTTTAATAATCCTCTAGGATATTGATTCTTAATGGTCGATCACTTTAAAAACAATGAAAAATTTAAATTCTTGTGAAGTATTCAACTATATATATATCTGGTACTAGTAGTAAGTACGTGCGTTGCATGTTTTACGTATCAGACAAATGATATGCCTAATATTTTTAAGTACTAATAATGTTTTTGAAAGTAATTGATGTAATTAATATTACTAAAGGAAAATTAAAATTGTTAAAAAATATGTATATGAAGAACACATTTTACGAAATTATGTATATGCTGTGAAAGCTTTAATAAATTGAAATGTAATATTTTCATTTTAATAACATTTCTTTGTACACAATATTTTTTGTCAACATCCTATAACTTTTCTCCTTTTTATTTTCTATTTTTAGTCTTTTATCAAGACTTTTGTTGTCTGCATTGAAACTCCACAAAAAAAAAAAAAAAAAAAAAAAAAAAAAAAAAAAAAAAAAAAAAAAAAAGTGTGAGATATAGTTACCATAAGATAATACATGTTCAGAAATGTATATTCTAATAGTAAGCATCGTTTGCCCTTAAACTTTGTTAATGATAATTGCAAGTATAGATGTATTGAAAATTGTTTCTTAAATTTGAATAAATATATATCATTATTTGTTGGAGTTAATGGGATGCATGAATACTATTTGACAACAATGTATTTAGGAACTTCTCTTGATAATATTGATTTATATTTCGATTTCATGCAAAAAATAACAATGAAAATCAAATATAAACAAAATCACTAAAAAGAACATACCTTGAGGATGAAGAACTAAAATAATCAAATATTGAATTGAATTGATAATAAGTAAGCATGTCAAAAAATAACTAAATTCTATTACTGCTACAAACAAATGACGTGCTTAAATTCGTAAAATTGAATTATTATCATTTTTGCTTTATTTTGAATGACAACTTCATATACATTACAAAATTTTTACTTTAACATAACAAAGTTCTTATCTGATCTGTTTGAATATAAATATGTCAAATTAAATTTAAAAAGTAAAGTATGTATACACGTGAATATTAAAATGCCAAAATGGATGCATAATTTATATTTATGAAATATATCCAAAATCACAAAATATAAAAAGTTATACCTCATTTAATTTGTCGAAAATAGTGACATATTTAATCTCTTGCTTTGGTTGCCTAAATTCAAGTAAATATATTTGACTTATTTTGATTCAATACGATCTGATTAGATTTGGTATCATTGGAGACATGTACCTCTTTTTATATTAATCATGTGAAAGTCGAAAGGAAATGATAATAAAAAATTATAAAAATAATTAGTACGAACTTATAATCAAAAGCTAGTTTTCTAAACATTCTTTACACATAGTTTAATATGAAAAAATAATTTATAACTTAAAACAAAGTTATAAAGTCAAATTTAAGATCTTTTAGCGTTTAATAATGTTAATATTTTTAGTAATATTTAAATATAATATGATTTTAATAAGCATAAATGACACTTACAATTTTTTTAGTATATCGTATAACAATATTTTAATATGATGATATTAAAATTTAAAATATACACTTTTTTAGTATGATACGACTAATATTTTATCGTTATAATTGATAACGAAAACTTTTTAAATTGGCTTCGTGTAAGGTAGAGCGCCCCTGGGGGGTTGATAGCTTCATGTCGACGTGTAGTGACCCGCCTTGTTCGTCGTTGGGGGTAGTTCTCTAGGCTAACTTATATTACACACACACACACACACATATATATATATATATATATGTGTATATATATATATATATATTTATTTATTTATTTATTATTGTTGTTCGACTCCGTTGATAGATTTTGTAGATAATGATCAATTATACAATATGGTATTGCGTCGTTTCACATAAAACGAAAGGGAGGTAACTACTAGGGACAAATTTGACAAAACTTTTGAAAGTTCCTTCTAATATTAATAAACCACTTTCAATATTATAAAATAATTTTTTGGAAATACATTATCTGACTATAAGATCTTTTAGATAAAACTGATCTAAAGTCACTTCCTTAAAAAAATATTCTATAAAAAGCATAAGCATAGGCAAAAGTCCCGTAAAATGTCCCCTAAATCTTTAAAACAAAGTATGCCTTGAAATTCATGGACGTAGAATGCCTTGAAATTCATGGACGTAGATCAATAAGTCCGGATAAAGTTTGTTCCTTTTTTTTCCTCCCATGTAGTACAAATCTCTTGATATGCGTACTTCTAGGGCCAAACTTTGATCAAACCTTACCAATAGTATTCGATTTCACCATGTTGGAGTGAATCTATGTGAATCTGACCAACAAAGAAATAGAGAAGACTAGACAAGAGTTGGATCGAGGGCCCTTTCGAGGGTCTCTTGATTTAGATGTAACATAAAACGAGTATTCGTTTATCGTCTGTTAGTTGTGAATGTGAGTTGGTCAACCTAATCGTGCACACCTTTTCAATAGGTTAGACTTGTAGTCGAATTTAAATTTTAAACTTGATATCAAATCCAATTTACGATATGCTGCTTTTGATCATATATGATTTTATAAATCAAATACTAAATTAATTTTGAAAAAGCAACTTTAGCCTCCATAAAATAAAGAAAAACGCCACTTATTTAATTTTTTTCAAAGTTAGTTAGCCTTATTCCTTTTTATAATTATTATTATATAGATATACGTAATGAGGTGTAATTGATTATTAACCTTTTGGACATTCTTATCCTACTATTTATCAAATCTCACTTTGTCAATTAATCCTTATCTTATTCTCTATAATCAAAAGTCATTTTTATTGTGACAAAGTGGTGGAGTCTTGTCTCAGTTTAGAGATACGTACCTCATTTGAAGAGAGTGGGGACTTATCAAAAATGTGTGGCATCGAGCTCATATCCTTGTATTATCTATTTTCCTTTTTATTCTAGAGTCTGTTCGGTAGTGATTATGAGAATAAATTTTTTGACCGTTACTAAGAAAAGTAGATCCCACATGTGAGTGAAGAAGTAAAAAATGAGAGCTGAAGTGGTGAAATAACAGTAAAAAAAATTGATTTTTTGGGGGTGAAAAATTGCTATTAAATGAGGCTTAATTAATATTACTGTTTTATTGCACAAGAGTTTAGTAATAGTTTTGTTAAGAGATGAAGGAAGATGATGGTATTTCTTTAATGAAGTTTAGTTGTAGGGTTTCTTTATGAACCAAATATTATTTCATTTTTCTTTGGGGTATTTTGATTATTCAATAAAAACTTTGGTATTTACTTCAATAATAGTTGACTATTCAATATTTCGTCATTAATTAAAAAATTTCTGGTTTTCAAACTTGTATGTAATTTTATAACCAACGAGTTTTTGAAGTAGCAGTTATTTTTGTAATTTCACTATAATACAAATCTTTAAACAACATCTATAATACTTGTTGAATTTCTCCAATATTTCTAGCTTCGTTAATTTTAAAATCAACGGATTTTCTATTGAATCACTCACTCGACATGCTATAAGTAAGGTTCCCTGATCTTTAAGAGTTAGAAGCACACAATTAGTAGGATGTGAGCTACTTGATAATATTTTCGTCAATGCATAACCGATACGTCTGAGAGGTGAATTGTGTTGAACTCAACTATCTAATGTATGTCATGTTTGGTGCTATAGATTGCTCACCACTATATCACTCTGGAGTCGAATCTTACTTGACTTATTTTATTTACCAACATAAAAATTCACTATTTTTCAAGAAATCCTGCAAATTAAAAATAAAAATAATAATAAAAATTGCACAAACTGCCATGGAAGATAATTGGGAAGCGTTGCAAAGATTCCAGTCTAATCAGTAATCACTGAGATTAGTACATAATTTTACAATGTACTAACTTTGATAGATACAACAACTACGCTACCCTACCTTACCCTACCCTACTCCTACACTACGCCACCCCACATCACCCACTCCCACCCTACGCACCCCACATACAAGAGAAATGTTAACATCAGGGAGGAATGACACGCCATTGTTATATTCCCACTGCTACCTACTTCTGGGGATCTTCTGTTTGGATTAGCAGGCTTCTTTTGACTCGTGCCATGACTCATTCCAACTCACTTTCATGTAATCTCAGCAAATATTTCCCTCACGAGCAATGCCCCTTTTGAGATATTAACACCATTACTGTTTCCTTTGTTATTAATCTCTGTTGAATCAGTTTTACATCCCAATTTCCTCTGCCACCTTTGAAGAGCAAAACCACATAAAAAACTCGTCCACAGAGGGAATCGGACCACTGGCCGTTCATCAATGGCGGATTTTCCCAACTGCACGACTATTTCTGCCATTGATGGACGAAGATTTTCTATTAAAGAAACACAGTGTGAAGCAATGAATATCAGCTTCTTGATCGAGCTTTCCATGTAGTGTGGCAATTCAATTCTTTCATCACAGATATCCAAAAATCTGCGCTTTTCGATCAATGTACTTGCCCATTCTACGATTGCAGCAGGCTTTCTCGAAACGTCAATGGCTTTCCTGCCTGAAATTATCTCAAACAATAGAACCCCGTAACTAAAAACGTCGACTTTTGTGCTCAACTTGCTTGGAACTGTATAACAAGGATCCAAATACCCAATAGTACCAGCAGCAGGTCGACTCAGTGAGTCTTCACCATCCATTCTGATGGCAAGTCCAAAATCAGCTAACTTCGCATCATGATTCTGATCAAACAAAATGTTAGCCGACTTGATATCTCTGTGGACAACTGGAGGGTTTTCTTCATGAAGAAACTGAACTGCCTTTGCTATTTGTACAGCCGTTTTCAAACGGTGAGGCCAATCTAGGGTTCTTTCGTCATCATCATCTGCTAAATGAAGAGCTTCATAAAGTGTGCCTTTTGGCATATGCTCCATGACAAGAAGCTTGTTCTTGAACGAGTCATGACTCGTCCCGAGTAGGCTGATTAGATATGGATTATGGGGTAGTGATGATAATATACAGGCTTCGTTTTTGAGCTTTGTGTTGTCATGAAGCTTTTGAAGGCCTGGAGATTGCTTCTTTATGGCTACGAACTTACCATCTTTGAGCATACCTCTGTAGACAAATCCATGGCTGCCTTTGCCAATAACTCGAGACTGAGCGAAATTCTCAGTTGCTTCCACAATTTCTTCCAACTTATACTCGTTCATTTGCACTATCTTCTTCTTTCTACTCTCCTCTGATCTTCTTGTACTTCATATGCTTGTACTAAACTGTTGCAGTTTTTGCTTCGAGTTTTATTTTATAAGCAAGAAAATGAAAACATCCTGAAGAGAACAAAGAATCTTGGAAAGAAGAGGATAATAATATATATTAGGCATATGTACTTTGAATTATAAGCGTCTTGGGTAAAAGGGTTTTAGCCTTCCTTTTAGATACAACGTATAAATTGGTTTAAGAAATTTCATCAAACTCAAATATTAATTTCAAATACAAATTCATAATTACTACACATTATTATCTATATATTTCGTGGAACTTGTTACTATTCCTCTTTATAAATTGATTTATAAATTTTCATCTTAAAATATCGCACAAAGGCTATTTCATGTATATTTAGTCTACATAGTGTGTCTCCTCAATGATTTAAACCGAAATCTCTAACTTGTGAGGCACTTAAGGTTAATATTGGTACCAATTGTGGAAATTTTCCACCAAAGGTTTGATCCCAACGTAAATTTCTTTCGTGTTCTTGGCGATTCGAATCCAAAACTCTCATTAAAAACTTGAGTTAAATGCTAGTACAATTTAAAAAAAATTAGTTATAACAAAAGACTGTAACTTCACTATTTCATCAAAAGGCATAAACACTTAAAAGAAAAAAACATTTATTTATTTATATTTTATCTTTAAGATTAGATAAGATTAAATAAAAAGAGACGGGAGGGAATCTTTGTGTGAGACGTGTCGCAAGAACAAAGAAAAGTATAAAAGATGAAATTTATAAAAGCAAATATACTCTAACTAAAGGGAAAGATGCCTGACGAAGCATTAACAAGGAGAATGCAAATATTAGCTGTTTTTGGACCCCCAAAACTTTACCTTTTGCTTTTTCTTGATTCCATTCCAGCTATGGTGACAAGAAAATATTGGGACAGTAAAAGATTCTTCAAGTAATCTATAAAATGGTTAGAAATCATTTATCAACAATTGCTTTATTAAAGCTGAAGGAAAAAAAAAAAAATTATGAGCAAAGGAAAAGTTCTCTTCTTTTCATTCATACTGTGCAATGCTGTCTGCTGAATCTAAAAGTTTTTCCACAATTTGGAGATAATTTGGGAGAATTATTTCGTGGTTTTTACAACGAATCCTCATCTTTTCTTTGTTTGTTACTTTTCATATACCAAAAGTACATTGACGAGTTCACAAGATAAGATAGATGCACGAACGCATTCATTAATCTATGACATTTATCAGAATTATTAAGGAGAAAAAAATGCCGTAGCCTGCTGATATTAATGCTATGAATTAAGAGAGAATTTAGAAAATATCCTCTCTCTTTTCTTTTCATTGAAATTCAATATTTTACATTTACCTCCTTTTATAATTTCTTTTTTTAAATATACCTCTTTTCATTTAAAATCAATATTTCAATTGTTCTTTTAAAAACTAATGTTTGATTTCTACAAATTACATATTAGGACAACATATGTGTTATTGTATTACTTGTAGAGTGACATTGAAATATTTCAATTTTATATCGTAAAATCAATATTTTAGGAATATGATATTTTATATTACTTTTTATTAAAAATCAATATTTTACACGTACAGTACTTGTGTTACTATATGTTACTTTTTATTAAAAAAATCAACGTTTTACACATATAACATATTATATCACACGGGTAATACATTGTGTTACGATGTCATATTTCAATAAAAATTGAATATCTTATCTATGTGTTCATTTTGTCTAACTCTTGCATTGGTTGGAAATCACAATTACTACACATAATTGCACTATCCACGGCAAAATCAAAATATATTGCTACCACTGAAACAATTAAAGAGGCTTTGTAACTTAGAGGCTTGCTTTATGAACTTTGTGTTTTGAATGATTATGTGACAGTATATTCGAATAGTCAATCTTTTATACGTCTATGTGAAAATCTAGTTTTTCATGAACGCACCAAGCACATTGATGTTAGGCTATATTTCATCAGAGATATTATATCACAACAGATATGGGTGATTTTACATCATTTTACACCAAATATATAGTGTGTAATTATTTTCTTAATAATTTATTTATGTGAAAAATTATTTCTTTATTTATTTTACAAATGCATAAACTACTAAATAAATAATTATGTTAAATTAACGAAAATATTAAAATCATTAATAAATATATTTCGGATTAACTCTAAATAATCGCGTTTGTTATATTTAAAATTTTTTTGTATTTTTATTTTAATTAATTCATTAATTATTATTTTTAAATTATGTTATATTTTAAATTTTTATTATTAATCATAATAAAAATTGCATTAATAAAAATAATAAAAATTTATTGTATTAAAAATATATCACACTAACTACAACAAAAATGAACTTTTGCAACATCAAAAGACAACATTCGTTAATTGAGTGTTGTTAAAGAGATTTATCGCAACATTCTAATAAGTGAATGCTGCCATTGGTAACATAATTGAGTTTTGTCAACATTTTTTAAATGAAGGTTGCTAATGTCAAATTCTGCAACGTTTATTGATTGTTGTGAAAGTATTATTTTTTGCAACGACGGTTATTGAATGTTGTTAACATTTGGTTCTATAGCACCGTTTAGTGACTATTGTTGAAACTCTTATTATATAGTCTTTTATAACGTTTATTCAATGTTACAAAAAATTTCGCTTTTGCAACGTTCCTTAAATGTTGCTAAAAGTTCTATTTTTGGCAATATTTATTGAACATTGTTAAAATTTGATTTTGTTGCAACATTCAGTACATGTTGCCGAAACTCTTACTATATAGCCTTTTGCAATATTTATTAATTGTTGCGAACAGTTTTACTTTTTGCAACGTTGTTTAAATGTTGTCAAAAGTTTGACTTTTTGTAACGTTTGTTGAATATAGTGAAAAATTTTGCTTCTTTTTTTTTTTTTTTTTTTTTTTTTTTCTCTTTTGTTCAAATGAAGTAATATATGTGCTCAAATTGTAGAAGACCAATTAAAACATACATATGTTAAAACGAGGCAAAATCTAAAGGGAAAAATTCATAATCAAGAGATTATATATCACCCATTTCAAAATTAAGAACAAAAGTTTCAAATTTCAAAAATTAATATTTATTTAAATTTATTTATGATTTAATTAATTAATTATATATTTTATTAATAATTAAATAAGGTCATAGATCTATACAATTTGATCACAAATTAACGATTTAGTTAGTCACACATTATTTTTCGATTAAAAATAAAAAATTTTATATGTCACAAATTATTTTACAATCATAGTTCAAAAATTTTATAGATCACAATTTGTTCATAGGTCACAAATAAAAAATTTATACGTCATAATTTAGTAATCGATCACAGATTACAAATATTATAAATCACATCTTATTAGACAGTCATATATTATCAAATTATTAATCATAAATTAGGTTTTCTTAGGTCTCACATTATCTTGTGATCACAATTTATTTTTTTCATTGGTCATATATTGTATATTAGTCACAGATTAACCAGTTTAATGGTCACAATCAATCATATAATTTGTGACCGACATTAACACTTGCGACCACCACTGTCTCCAGTAGCACGTCACCGTTGCCACCAAAACCACCACCACCACCACCACCTCCTCCCAATGACAATACCACCACCTTAAACAAATCAACATATTGGAGAAAAAACATCACCACATCGTCCCATTGTCGCCACAGCCAACATTAGAACTACCACCTCAAACACTGTCATCAGTCGCATCACCACTGAAACCACTGCCACCACAACCTCCACAAAAAAAATCCCTAAATGCGTCACCTGGTACTACCACCACAGCTTGTATCAAGAATAACCACCTCCACCGCCATCACCTCCGCATCAACTACAACACCACTACACATAACCCACCACAACCACATCACCACCACAGTAACCATGACACCATCGTCAGAGCCACCACCACGCCTCAACACTACCACACCAACAACACCTAACAACTGTACCCACATCTCTTAGCACCGCACCCACAGCCTACACTACCACGACCACAACCAACAGCAAACACCGCGACAGAGCCGTTTCCACCACCACCAGAGCCAACGCAACAGAGCCGCCCCGCCTCCATCGCCACCACTGCTTGTTTCAACACTCACCATCACGACCACCTCAAATCCACAATTTTCTTCGCCTCTACCGTATCAGAATCATCATCGGATGAAAACAAAAAATAGATCATCACGGCGGTAGTTCTGCCATGATGAGGAGCCGTTTTGTCCGGTTGTGTGCAGCAATGAGCCAAACCCTATTGCCCGCCACCCAAAACAATAGCAATCGATGAAGCTGGAGCCACCATTTTTCTATGTCTTGTTACTGGTAGTTCTTACTTTATTTTTTTTGTATCTTGCAATGCTTCTATGCCTTTTATATGGATAAATTGCTAACTTGGCTTATTTGTGGGAAGACTAAATTTAATTAGGATCTGGTTGTTCCTGAGATCAATTTTGTCAAGGCATCTTTTAAATGCTTTTGTGTGTCTTATGTGTATTCGTACGTCGATCACGTGACATGTCTTTCCATTTTTTCTCTCTTCCTTTTATTAGATACGAATTGCATTATTTTCTTATGCTGGGTGTGCATTACCATAGTTTTTAATAAGTGTGGTTCAATTATAGTGTGCACTCTAGTGCAATAGGAGCAAATTGATTTCCATTGGACTACAGGCTGTTTTGCTGTATTTAATTGCTATCAAAACAAGGGCATAGCCTTATATTTTATCTATTCTTAATGGTAGTCAAGTGGCTTAATTATTGACCATCATTGTCATCAATGCCCATAGTTTTTCTAATTCGGGTCTTATAGTTTTGAAATGCCATTTTGTTTATTAAATATCTCTTCGTATAGATAACAACACTTCTGCTTCAGTTAGTCTTTTAATTCACTGTATGTCCCCTGAAAATTTTCTATAATCAGGCGCTTGGTGAAGCTAATACATCCAACATTTGCTCTCGTCACTATCGATCCCCAGAACTCATCTTTGGGGCTACGGAATATATGACAGCATTTGATCTTTGGTCTGCTAGTTATGTCTTAGCCGTGCTGCTTTTGGGACAGGTCTCTAGCCTCCATATCGTTCTTGCATTTCGGTGAGTAGTATTTTATTCTACCATATTTTTTTACTTTCAATAATTTCCTTTTCTTTATTTTTTATAGCCACTGTTTCATGGAGAGAATGCAGTTGGTCAGCTTGTAGAGATTATCAAGTATGCTATCATTTCTAATTCTACTTTCCTATGGATCAGATTGCTACAACTGTAATGATCTCTTCATTTATACTAATTAGAAGACTTTCTCTAATAGGTTCTTGTTACACCAACTCGAGAAGAAATACGATGTATGAATTCAAGCTATAATGATTTTAGATTTTCCCAAATTAAAGCCCATCTATGGCACAAGGTACGCTTGCACTTGCTACATGCTATTTTCTTAGAGATATCATAAATTTTCAATGCACAAGAGAATGACTGAATTCTTTAGTTCAGGTTTTCCATAAGCAGATGCCTCCTGAAGCCATTGATCTTGCCTTCGGCTGCTTCAGTACTCAGCAAGTCTTTGCTGCACTGTGGTATGTCTAATCTTGTAGGCTAAAAGACTGGCATCTCAATACCAGAGAAAGGTTGAGAAATACAAAGTGCCACATGAACGTGTGAGGCGGCCATAATTACAATGTAAAGAAATGTCTTGAAAATGAAGTTGGGAGTTTTGGGGAAGTCGACTTTCTAATGGTTTAATACTCTTTTATTGTTGGATCTTGTATCATTATTTTGTATGTTGTGTTTATTAGTTTGTTTAATAAGCAATATGCAAACCAAGAATTTTCTTTTGTGTTTATTAGTTTGTTTAATAAGCAATATGCAAACCAAGAATTTTCTTCGATTTATTGCAATGATGTGTCATGTTTATTTTGTATGATTAATGAAATTATATCAATTTCATGTAAGGCCTTAAACCATTTTAATTGTGGTTGATTTGTATCAATTGCTATACAAATAATAAAAAATGCAAAATTAAAAAAAAAAGGTTGTAAAATGACCTACGGCAACAATAAAAAAAATGTTGCAAAAAATAAGAATATAAGCATAGAAAAAAAAAATAAAAAAAAATATTGCAAAAATAAGGATATAAGCATAGACAACATTTAAAAAACATTGTGAAAAAGTTATTAGCAACATTGCAAATATGTTATTAATAACATTCAAAAATTTTTGTAAAAATATTATTAGCACCATTCAAAAAATGTTGAAAAAAAATTGTTAACAAAATTCAAAAAACGTTGCCGTATCATTCTACTTTACTGCAACATTGAGAGTTGCAATATATATCGGAACGTTGCAAAATGTTATTTTTGTTGTAGGAATAAATTACACAAATACCCTCCATCAATTAGTTTGACAAATGAAAGAAAAGGGTAAATTTCACTTTGCACCATTTGGAGCAAAATACTGCAAAGTGAATAGTATTACACCAAATAATGCAAACTTTGTTGTCACATTGGAGAGTTTTTGTACAAAAAATTAGTATACTTTGGTGATTTGGTGCATCATTTGGAGATGGCCTAACGTCACCCATTATATGGCTGGCTCCTTTGGTTTATTGTGACCTTGTGTGTTATTGCTATCCTCTCCTTTGTTGGCAAAATCGGCCAGCTTTGTGCTTCACTTCACTGTGTCTTCTTCATCTTCTTCCTTGGCCTGTGTGGCTGCCTTCATGGCTGTAATGACCACCTTATTGTGTGTCCTAAGTGGAAAACATTAAAGCAACTGGAGTTGAGGATGTTTAGTTCGACTTTGTGTCGAATTCTTGAGGTTTGTGATTGTTGGATTCCACATTAAGCTTGAAAAGCACCATAGTTATCCAAGTCTTCCCCTAAACTGGATAAATAATGTTCTGGTTATAAACAATGATTGTAGTCAACTACAAGTGTAAAGAGAAGCAATTTGTAGCCAAGGAAATCTCATCCATGGATTTAATTAATATGAAAGAAATAGTATAGGCAGGAATTCTTCCCCATCATCATTTCTTATTTTTAAAAATATTTCCTTCTGTAAGTCTAGTTTCCTCTTTATATCCTACTAAGGGATATCAAGTATATTTGATAGATGGACACTTAAATATACCTGTCACCCTTGGGCCTATGAGATCTAGATATATCTTCTTGATAAAGTTCATCATCCATCTACTCATCTTCAATCTCATGATTGGAAATATTAGCCTTATGATTACCATATCCATCGTATACAGATGCCTTATTACCATGTTGTATGGATCTCTACTGACTTGCTTGATCGGTATAACCTCCATTAGTTGGTGACACAGTGCTTGCAAAACCAATTCAAAACAACAATAGTGAAACATCCAATTGTTAAACGGCTACATGAGGTACATAATATCAGTTGGTAAAGAGATATCATCATTCTCAACGAAAATTCCGTTGCTGCTTACCGTAGTTAAAAGTGGATAATTTTTACCGAGGGTGAATCCTTTTTTTTTATTACCAACGGATCTATTGGTAATTTTTCATTGGTGAAAAGTTGTTTTTTAGTAGTGACACTAAAGATTAGTTTGGCCTGTAATTTGAAAGTTGGATTATATCCATTAACAAGTGTAATATTCTTAATAACTCTTGGATGATCAAAGGATTTTATTTTCACAACACCAAAAATCACTTTAGCAATGGGCAAAAAACATTGTCGTAGACCTATGACAATGTTCAGTCGTTTGTTGTGGATTTCAATGTTGCCGTATAACGAAGAGTTTTGACAACGTTCATTGCATGTTGTGAAAACTTGATTTTGGCAACGTTCAATGCATGTTGCGAAAACTCAGTTTCCGCAATGTGCAATGGAAGTTGCCAAAAGGGTCTTTTGGCAATGTTCATTGTACGTTGCCAAAACTCAGTTTCCGCAACATGCATTGAACGTTGCCGTAGGTCGTTTACAATTTTTTTTTATTATTTTTTTATTTTTGTGCTTGCATTTTCCTATTTGTATAACAATTTACCAAATCAACCACAAAATGAAAAAGACTTTTTGGACGTTCAATTGATATAATTTTATTAATTCATGCCAAATAGTCAAAACACATCATTGTAATAAATGGAAGAAAAATTTTGATTTACATATTGCCCATCAAATAAACATCATCTTACACTCTTCTTGAACAATAGAAAATTATTGTATAAAAGAAGAAAATTTACAACTTCTAATCTTCAAACCGTTGGGTTGGCTAGCTCTCAAAAATCCTTCCTGTTGCTTTCTTCTTGGCCTGCATCTATCTTTTAAATGCAATGGGTAAATTCAACCTCATGATCACCACAGAGAAGCTTGTCCTTAGATCGAGTATGAATTTGAGTTTAGATAATGCAATAGAGATTTAGTTATCTATTCAAATAAGTTAAAGGCTGGACAAAACATAAAGTGGCTGAAGGCATGGCGACTGAATACAACAAGAATTCAAAAACACCAAATATTGAATCAATGGAAAGAATTACCTTGTTGTTCTCAATTTGCAACTAACACATTAGAGATACATTCTGATCAAGACACCAACAATGACTAACTTCCACAACTCTATATGACTGATCATTATCTCAAGTCCTAGTCTAGCCATCTTTGGAAGTTCAAAAGCTAGACACAGTTTAAGGATGAAGAATTTGAAGAATTTGGGGCTAATTTAAGGATTTTACCAGAAATGCTTGATCAGTCTCATCCATCATCTGATTTCCCTGATCCATTAGCTGCTGATTTGTCATATCTGCAACATTGTGTTCATCAACAAAAGGCTTCATCAAACAAATTAAACAAGCAAAACAAAATTTGTGGCGAAAATGTGAATTTTGTGCATAGCAGACAGAAATATACTAGGATTTAAAATCATCAAAGCAACTGGTGTAAACCAAAAGCAGAATTTGTTCTTGCAGCATATGTAACAAAATTAAGATATATTCATGGGGTGAAAACTTGTGTATGGATTTCAAGCAAATTCCAAAACAAATTGAAAGAAGTATATTACGAAGACAACAAATGTAGCGATCAAGAACACAAGTGAAAAGGAAATTTGGCGAAGTTACAAATAAACAAGAAGACAATTTCATTGTTAGAAACTCCTTCTATATACCCACTAACTTCACTGCAATGTCAAAAATTAAATTATTTACCTCATTTTTATAGCTATGAAATTATTAATACTACATGGCATTTCACAAAAAGTCCAGGGGCTATAGGTTACCCTTCTTCTCAACAATTTCCATTTTATATACAGAATTTTGTTGCAGAATCGTTTCAATAAGCTAAAGTATAAATTAATGTGTCTAGTCATATCCTTTCTTTAGCTCATCTTTTATCCAAATATTGAAGTAGGCTATAAAAATGTCCAATTTTACCCCAATATTGAAGTAGCGATGGAGGCTAGGAAAATAAAATTGCATCAATCGCATTTTCAATGTCATAACATGAAGAAAAGAAGGTGAAAACAAATTACTCTTTCTACCGTTTATGCCTTCTTCAGATTCTAAAATCCCGAATAACAAATGCATTAAGGCTTGCCCCCAGAATATTGGCATAATTTCTTTCTCACACCCACATTAACAAACATTGTTACTATGATAAATTGATCTTTGCTGTTCCTTCCTTGGAGCCATCCTTTAGTAACATTACAATTAGAAATGGCAAATGCCAGAAATTTTCTGTTTTGTCTTTTCTTTTCTTTTTTTGAATGGATATAGTTATAATCTAATATGTTACAAACGTTTTAAGCCACAATGTAATGTCAATTCTTCTTTTTCTATTGTAATTTTGTGTCAGTGGATGTGCAGAGATGGGAATTGTGGAGGAAGTAGCTTACTGGAAGTGAACAAAACATTTTCTTCTGCAAATCCTTCACCAGGGCCCTCAAAGAGATCTACTCGCTTGTTTTCAAGATTGCTTGTGTACCTTGAGCATCATCAAGAAAAAATATGATTACAAACACATAAGGAACTGCATAGCATGCGAACAAAATTATTTACCAGATCAGCACACGAGGAAGAAACTAAAAATGTAGAATGTTATCAAGCACTGAATGAAGAAGCTTGAATTCCAACTTATGATTATAAGGAAATTATTTTTTGAGATGAGTTTTCAAATGAACTAGTGAAAGAAGGCCTACTTAAGAGTGGAAAAGAAAATTTATAATTTCACAACAGCAAAAACAAATTACTCCATTGACTTTTTGCTTCTGAATCATAAGAACTTGTTTACAAGTATTAACTTCACTAAGAAGTCATAAAGGTTGCTCCATCATGAGCTAGATCACATTGTTACCCTGATGTAAATGTTCCAAGTACTATAACTCTTAAGGAAATATGTTCCACAAGGAGAGTGCAAAATCTATTTATGAAATGAAATCAAAACGAGTGCAAAAATTTCAAAAATTAAATCTACTCCACTCAGTTATGATCAATTTCGGCTTCACAAAATCAAGCATATCCAAAATGAAACCAAATTGAATCAAATATCACACCAAAAAAATAAAATAAAAAATAAATTAATTCAAAAAAAAAAAGTTAAGATCATAAACTTTACCAAAGTAAATATAGATACTGGAAAAAATATGGAGAAATCATTTAGCAACTCTTTTCTCCACCGACTTACAGGTTCATGATCACAAAAGTTTTGGTGTTAACTTCAACAGTTAGCCCCTTGGGTAAAAGGGTTTACAATAGTCAACGACT